TGTATGTATGTATGTATGTATGTATGTATGTATGCATTTACGAATAGGATTTTATTGTAAAATACGTTGTCGAGCATCGAAAACCATTCTTTGGTCTGGGCACCTGGCAATAGTTGCCTGTGTTATCTGCCAACTTCACCCAACTAATCCGTCATCCAATATCACCATGTCTCTATCCGAAATGTATTCTGAAGATGATCAAACACTTTAATGATCACTATATGATTATTTTAATACTCCTTATTAGTTGTTAACAGAAGGTGATATTTCTGTTTATAATTGCTTGTCTGAAACTCTGACATATTCTTCCTATCTAATTTTGATGCTCTTCGAACTACCTAAATAAAACAAGAGACCTACACAATTTAATATCGATTAGAACGAAAATAATATATCCTTTATCAATACGTCAACCGTGTACATTTATTTCTTCATAGAGGAGGACAAAGCTTCAGAATAAGAGAAGGACATGAATGCTGAAAACCCCACATACGCTTAATGTTACAGAGTAAAGGTGAATATATGGACCGACTGAGTTGAACCCCGAGTCCTTAGCTGCTCTGTACTTTAAGCATCCTTACGCAGTGACTCAAGTATTATTTGAATTCCATGTTGTGGTCGAAGGGTGAAAATACTCATCGGTGAGTGGACATAGGCAGGGGAAAGGGTAAATGTGTAGCATTGCAGAATCATGGAGAGAGCAATCTTGGTTTCCGTGATTGCAAAGGTCATACCAGCACAAGATCGAGGTCCCAATCCAAACGGAAAAAATGCAGCTGCATTGTGTTTGGTAGCTCTGGCAATCCCTTCTGCAAATCTTTCCGGTTTAAAAAGATGCACGTCGTCTCCCCACAAATGAGGGTCACGGTGAAGTGCCATGACTGGAACAAGAAGATCTATATTTGCAGGCAAGACTAGCTTTCCTAACTGAACTTCTCTTGCAACTTCTCTGGCTAACAAAGACGATGGACTATACAGTCTTGCAGTTTCATTAATGATCATGGTGATCTGTTTACAGAACAGAAATATGTGAGAATGTATAAAAAAATCAATGTACTAAACACTTGGTAGCATACGCGAGGGATTTATATTATGATCATGTTTTAGTTTTTAGGTCGGCAGACGTAGTGTATGCTATGGCAATCAGTTCTAGTAAACATTAGTGATGAATATCAACATCAAAATAGCTGAATCTGCAAAATAGTGACTGTAACATCGGTTACAGTCTCTAGCTAAATCCGTATTATACCCTGATTTTATATGATTTAATAGTTTGCTTACGGTTCTGAGATTTGTGATGCCTTCAGGATGTGGCTTTTGGTTGCCAAATATCTGAATCACCTCTCTTCTTGCTTTTTCCTGCCAATCTCCATGGATTGCTAATAGGAAGAATGTCCATGCTAGCAAGGAATTAACAGTTTCTTGTCCAGCCAAGTAGAATGTTTTGCATTCACCTACCAAGTCTTCCTGCGAAAGTCGATTTTTCTCGTCCGGATCATGAAAGGCATTTACAAGTAATCCCAGAAAATCATTGCCAAAGCTGTCAGCTTCTCCGTTTACAACTTTGTCTTCTCTTTTCCTAACAATCTTCATCACACAATCTTGTATTTCTTTTGCAAGTTTTTCTGACTCTAACAAATCAGCAGATTTCCATAACTTGCTATACAAGTAAACCATGGTTAGCTATTCAGAAACTAGTTACTCAAGGAAAAACTCAAGGATTAATTAATTTTGGAGGGAACATACTCGATGAAAGGAATTGTGGTATTGAAAAAATTTCGGCCCACAATTACAGTCAACTTGTTCAGCAAGGCAAAAATCTTCTCCCCTTCCAAGTAACTGCTACCGAAAGCTGTTCTCGATATCACTTCCGAAGTCAACAATTTGAACTCTCGGAACACTTCGATCTCTTTGCCTTCTTGACCTTTCCATTTTTCAAGCATTGTTTCAACGCTAGCAATTACTGCCGGTGTCATGTTCTGCACAAACAATCCTCCAATAAGCAAGCAACAAACAACATAAGGATCAGTCAAAAATATATTTGCAGGCTTTACATTCAAGCTTTCCCCATGAAAAACGTAATTTGCCAGCTTCCTCTGCCTCACCCATTTTTCACCCTCCTTTGAAGAAATCCCGTTCCCGAGTAGCTTGCTAGCATAAATCGAAAGCTTCATGTTTCGATAAGCTTTTTCATTATTTCTCAGAACTTGTTTTACTAGTTCAGGTTCTGTAATCACAAGTTGAGCTCGAACACCATTCCAACAAAGATAATTCTTCCCTAACCAAATAAAAAGCAAAATAGTCAATCTTTTCATAGAGCTACAAGTTAGACAGCAATATCAATCAATCTTACCATATCTGTTGATCCAGGAGTAATGATGTGGCTGCACTCTGGGAAATATATTATCCGTCAAGTCCATAGATTTGCTTAATGCTTCCTTTTTCATTTTAGCAACTTCTTTGTTGTTTCCATGGATGAATCTGTAAGGAGGTCCTTTGATTCCCTGTGAATTCAGTATCCGCTGTATACGGTGAGGTATCCACAAGTAATCATAAAGGAACTTCATTAAAGCCATGAGGAAGAAAGAAGATGGGACAAGAATCACAAGCTCCATCAAGCCACTCATTTTTCTTCTGTTAACAATGAATTCAGATCCTTTGGGTGATTTTAAGAGCATCAAAATTAGGTAGGAAGTAATTGATAGACATTATTATAAGACCAAAATATCAACAATATTAATAATTCAAATAAAATTTGGAGTACGCATCGACGCCAATGTTTCATTTCAAGGTTGCTTCACATGATTTTTCTATTCCATGGACTGAAAATTTCACTTTGATCAATCAAAAATACCATAATCAACTCTATTTAAGTTCGATAAAAAATATAGGGTACCTGAAAATTCAAGAAAATTTTAAAAAATACTCAATAAAAAGAAATAAATTAAAATCCAAATAAATAAAAATAAATGAAAAAAATGGGTTGCTTCCCATTAAAGTGCATTTGTTTAACGTTGTTAGCTCAACGACCTGATTTAGTCTATAGGATTTGTTCGAGATGTTTCATCCATTTCATGCATTTTCACCAACTAAGAAACTTTCTCCTAGAACTTCTACGATTGATAAGCTCCTTTAATTTGTCCTTGTAGTTTCGAACAATCTCACAAGTATTTCTTCGGTTCTTTTTCAGATTTGGAGGCTTGTCCGAAATAGTTGCTGATAATACATCATTTTTGCCAAAAGATGAATGCTTCAAATGTTTCGGCAATTGTTTCGACTCCTTTTTTCTGTACCTACAAAATGTAAGGAATAATTTTAGATTCATAAGGTATTAAACAAAATCAGAATTGATAGAAAAAATTTCTTCGAACTCCTTGATTTAGTTGGCTCAGTCCTCATTTTTCGATTTCTTGCAAGGATTATAAAACAAATTATTTTCCAAGAATTCATCAGCTAATGGATCGACAATATCAATAAAATTCATCCTTGCCACACTATCCAGGTATTTCATGGCTTTATATACGTCGAATTTGACGACTTCACTATCAAATTCCATTATTAAAATACCATTTCAGATGTCAATTTTCGTGTTTGTCGTCCTCAGAAAGGGTCGCCCGAGAAGAATTTCAAATCCAGTTCTGCTGCAATCATTTTCCATGTCAATTATATAAAAATCAGCATGGAATATCAAATCATTTACCTTAACCAAAACATTTTTTAATGCTCCCTCTGGGTATATAATTGATTGATCAACGAGTTGAACCGTTACCCTTATTTCTTTCAATGGTTCGTTTGAAATTTTGTTGTAGATGGGAAGCGACATTATGTTGATGGATGCGCCTAAGTCGCACATGGCACACTTAATTAGAACATTGCCAATCTTACAAGGTATGGCAAACATATCTTGGTCCTTATATTTTGATGGAAGTTATCGTTGAAAGACTGCTTAAACATTCTTTCTCAAGTTCACCTTCTCATTTTCGGTCAATCATCTTCTATTGGTGCATAGATCTTTAAGGTACTTGGTGTATTTGGGCACATTCCGAATTATTTCAAGAAGGGGATGTTAATCTCTACCTTTCTAAAAATGTTGAGAATTTCTTTCTCTTCTACTTTCTTGTCACTTTTCATAAGTCTAGCAAGAAAGGGAGGCAGACCATCATAAAGGAAAGAAAAAAGAAGAAGAAGAGGAGGCGTGATTACCTGAGATGGGTGGAGGTGGCGTCTCGACTTCTTGTTTCTTTGGTGGAGCATCTTTTTCTTTTGAAGTTCAAAGTGAGATGATGGTACCACTTCAGAGAGTAATCACACTGACATTTTCCCTTGGATTCTCTACGGTTTGTGATGCTAATTGGCCTTGAGATTCTAGGCACCCAACTGCTTGAGTCATTTGGCTTATTTGCTTGTCGATTTCTTGGAAATGAGCTTGGGGTTGATTTTGGAATTTCTCTGTGAACAAGGCTAATTTTTTAAAATTGTTTAATGGAAGATTTTTGTGGTGGGTGATTAGGAAACAAAAGAGGTCTCGATTGATACATCGAGTTGATTAATTGGTTACTTTCGCAACTCAAGTTTGGATGGTCCCTCTATCCCAGGTTGAAGTTGTTGTCGTAAGGGTCATAAGATTTTTGGGAGGTCTCAGAAAGTTGCCTACGGTATTCACTTGTGCACCATTAGGTAGTAATATGTCAGTTGATCTGGCATCATACAAACTCCACAAATTTTTGCGGCTCCAATCTTTCTTGAAACAAGCGAATTAAATATGTTAGTTAATTTATCTAATTTACTCTCAATTGAAACAACAATTACTTTGTGAACCCGTCGAATGGGTTCACTCGAGGAGTCGAATTGTTGTGAATTCACAGCCATGGTAGAGATTAACGTTCTTGCTGCTTCTAGGGTCATATTGACGAGAGCGCTGCCACTAGCGACGTCTACCATTTTTTTTATCCATTTGAAGCATTCCTTCATAAAGATATTAAATAAGAGTTTTCTTGGATAAACTATGTTGCGGACAACTGGAACATAAATTTTTAAATCTCTTCCAATAATCGTAGAGGGTCTCTTCTTCATTTTGTTGAATTCTTAAAATGCTTCTCCTTAGTTCGCTCACTTTCGTAGCTGGGAAAAATATGTCAAGGAAAACACGAGATAAATCAGCCCAAGTAGTAATAGAGTTTGGCGGTAAATAAAATAACCATTCCTTAGTTGATCCAACTAAGGAAAAAGGAAATGCTCTAAGTTTAATTTGATCCTCTGAAACTCCCTGGGGCTTTATGCTATTGCAAATCATGTGAAATTTAGTGAGGTGTTTATGTGAACTCTCACTGGGGAAATCTTGATAGGTAGGAAGGAGATGGATTAATCTAGTCTTAAGTTGAAAAAGGGTCTCGCGGCAAGAAAAAGCGATGTAAAGTGATTGTTACATGAAATGAACAATTGCTAGTTCTCTAATCGTTTGATTTGCCATCAGTTTCGATTCAGGCATGGGATCTGCGACTGGTGTAGTTTGAATGGTGTCAGGCGTGGGTTCTTTGTGGGAATGAATATGAGATGGCGTTACGAAAGTTTATTCCAGATCGGATTGTCTCTATCTTTGTTCTCGTTGTTTCTTTCGTTGAAGCGTTTAACCATGATTTTTACTAGCACTCGCTTCGATCTCCAAGTTGAATTCTACTAAATTTCCCAAATTTCTCCTGGTCATAAAATCAAAACAAAAATAGATTAGTAATTTGTTGTAGTCCCCGGCAATTGTGCCAATTTTGACAAGCGTCGTTTTACTTTTCAAAATAAATTAAATTCTATTCTTAAATAAAATAAATAGAAATGAGTAGTAGAGTGGACAAAAGGGTCAATCCACGAGGACTTAAGAATTTCTGATGAAGATTTGTATCAATGTCAAATCAAGTAGCTGTAAGAAAAATAAATAGAAAAGGGGTGTGGCTTGAATAAGATGAATAATAAAAGAAAATTAAAAACCAAAGAATTAAGATAAAAACAAAAGGAATCAGAATTAAGATTGAAAGTAATAATAATAAAATTGTCTCAATCTAGCTTTGTTTCAATCCCGTCGATCACCGAAATAGATTTTTCTGACAGGATTCATGTTAGTTAAAGTCTACATGGCCCAACCCATTGTAATTTTCCTTTCTCTCTAGTAATCGATCTTCCCAAGTAACTATTCGAAAGTCGATTCTTGAATGGGCTAACCACAGTTATTGCATTAGAACAAACATGATTAAGAATTGGAAAGGCCTGACTCGAATTATGTCATCTCGTCAAGAATTGAATCCGATCTCGATTTCCTTAGTGGACCACCGCTAAGTGTGTTCAAAAGATGTCGAATATGTCACAGGGCGATCCCTCCTCCCAACTATTAATTAAAAAGACATCTAGACCAACGAGCTCTTTTTTATTTGAAAAACATTTTAATTTTAAAAGTAAGGTCGATTGCCAATCTAATAAATCAGAAAATCAAGAATATAACCTGAAGGGTATTAAGTGCTATATCAATTCTCACATATGTAATTGAATTGCCGCTAGCTCTCGGCTAATAAGAAAATTAGCTAACCATGATAGAGATCATACTTAGCATATTTTGATGAAAAACAATTAAACTTGAAAAGTAAAAGGAAGATAAATTAAACAAAAGAAAACAACTTTTATAAAAACTAGAGAAAAAGAAAGAATAATATAATCTTGGATGATGTTCAAGCAAACCCCAAAAGGGGTATTTATAGTTCTCTAAGGATGAATTCTCAACAAAGTAATAAAAGAAAATTCCCAAAATTATTCAAATTAAATCCCCAAAATAAAGGAAATCCCAAAATTCAAGTCTGATTCGTGCTGAGTGTTCTGTCCACACAGATTTTCCAGCTGGCCCTTTTAGAATATGTTGACTCATCGCCACGTTAGTAGTCATGTCCCAAATCATGCCCACTAGTGTAGCCATGACTCCAGAAAAACTACAGAATTTTGCCTAGTTTCCGGAATCCAATGTCCTGGATGAAAAAATAAAAGAAAACACCCAACTTAGCAATATAAATCGACAAATCAAGGAGTAATTAATGATAAAATAATAACGAAATTAAGCACTCATCAATCATCAAACACACAAGTAAGCATCATGGTGTAGTTCGATGTCACTTAGTATCACATAACTCACACCCTTCTAGCTTACAACATACATACACACATAGATAGGCTTGATGATGTAGTACATGGTTACTCAACATCATGGGACTCACACCCCTTTAACCTATCACATAGGTACTTTGGATAAGATCTAGATAACGAAATATCAACATATTATTTCCAAATGGCCATTATTGCCAAATACCTAAGGTGAGATTTGGGTAACAAAGTATTAACATCTAGAATCTGGTTAGTCTACTCCTCTTGAGTACATGGGATGTGTCTAGGTCACAAAGCATCATAGCAACATCCAACTAGCATTTAAAGTGATCTCTCACTGACTTGGATAAATCAGAATATTTCTAGCAACAAGACAATCGTTGCATACACACAAACATACAAGAGTATCCATAGGACAACATATCAATCAATACCACACGAGGGCAGTTAAGAAAGCTCGACTTCTCATTAAACTAGTTCATCATAATAGAGTGAGGTCATCCCCTTACCCAATATTATCTCATTCGTTCTCTCATCTAGAACGTTATGCAAGGGTTTATTAGTCTTTTAGTGTTTTATGCCCTTAAGATAGTTAACACTCATATCTATGTACTTGGTATATTATTACTAGCGTGATAACTCCTTGAAAATGTCATATTTTGGGACCTTTTCACTTAAGTTATTGAATGTCTAAGAGCCCATTTAGGACCATTTAGATGCATTTAGGAGCATATAGTTGCATGTGGTGGATTTCAGTTTGCCGTGGCATTTTATTTTTACAACGGTACTGCTTTATGGGAAATGTACTTGTCTGATGGTGTGCAGGTATTGAAAGCAATGAAAAGAGGAAAGAAAATGCCGTGGCATAAGGAGACTGCTGAGCAGAATGAAAATGCCGTGGCATAAGGAGACTGCTGAGCAGAATGAAAATGTCGAGTCTGATTGGCATTTCGAAAGCGAACAAAGTGAAAGAAGATATTTTTGCAGCCAGCGGTCTCTGACTCCTCGAGAGCTCTGCCCAAGAAATCTGCCTCGAAGATCCTGCCTGGAGGAACCGGCACTGCAACCGCCGACTTTGATAATAACGCCGCCTGACCTTGCAGGTTCTGTCTATCCTTGGGCGTCTGCAGTGGGATTGTGCCGGGTCTAAGCCAGCAACCCAGGCTGGATCACAACCAGCTCTGCCCGACTCCCAAGCAAATCAACCATGGTTTTGGGGTTTCCTAGGATGGTTAACACCAAAGCTTAGGATTTCTTTTCCCCTATAAATAGAGGAGGAAGCCATATTGAAGAAGACTTTAGTTCCAGCCACATTTGATCTTAAAAAGTTAGAGAGAGAAAGTCTCATCTTTCTCCGTCAATCCCACTTGCCGTGGCATTTCTCCTTGACTAGTAGAAGGGAGTGGCGTTCTAAGCATCCGAGAGGAGCTAGTTTGCTGGGAGCAGTCCTTGGTGGCCGAGGAAGGCATTTGGCAGTGCACGTTGAAGGCTTTTTCTCCTCCCCTTAGTACTTGCTTTTATATTTTGTTGTTGGGTTGTAAGGAATGAATGAATCTTACTTTGTGCTTGTTGATTTCGAACCCCACCATGAACTAATCCTATTTGGCGGGAGTTCGCATGGTTATTTAAGTTGTTATTTTAATGAATAGTTGTTGTTTCATGCTCTATTCTGTTTTGTTTATGGTGCTTAAAGCCTTGAGGTTGTAGGAGCTACGAGAGTAGCCTTTCCTTAGGAGGGTTCATGAGGTTCGAGAGAATGCCTTGGCAATTTATCTTTAGTCTTCGAGAGAAGCTAGGGAGGAACTACATAAACAACGGGTTCTAGATAGTAACTAGGCCTATCCACCTTAGAGATAAGGATAGGATTTCATTCGACTAAAAGAAGTTGTGTATAAACGATAGGTTAGATGTTAATGCTGCCGCAAAAAGGTATTACCGAGACATATTCTATTAGCTAAGTCAATAGGATCACTGCTTGGGCTTACACCAATCGGTTTTGCCAGGGCATCTTTAGTCTGTCGAGTCCCTTACTAGAGATAGCATAGGGCACATCAGTAGACTCTGTCGGGCAAGGTAAGCAGAGAGGAAGTACCATTCAGAGAAATAGACTTAAGTTTTCCTTGTGTCTCCCATCACTCATTTCCATTGCTGCTTGTCCTGTGAGAAAGCTAAAGTCATACATATATTAAATCTAGTATTTTCATTTTTATTTTGCCTTGACATTTCCATTTGTTTTCACGTATCACAATTTAATTTGCCACGACATATCCATCTACTACCACACTATCACCATTCCATTTCCACTATGTCCATTCCATTTTGCCATTGCATTCTCATTTGTATATACCATAACTAACTTTACTTAGGTGACAAAGTAAAGTGCCTTGACAAACCTATTTGATTTCCCCAATTCCCTGTGGAGACGATACTCTACTTATCACTTTATTACTTGTTCGATTGTGTATACTTGCACACATATCCGCATCATATTTTAGTACTCACAAATAGCAGACAAGTTTTTGGCGCCGTTGCCGGGGAATTGGCAACTGGAAGTTAATTAGTTTTGTCATAGCATTTTTATTTTACTTGTGTAATTTTTTTTGTATAGTTTTACTTGTTATTTTCCTTATCTTTTTCAGGTTTTTATTTTACGTACTCAAAGTGCTCCAGCAAAGATGTATCAAATTGGAAATCAAGGAATAGGTCAAGAGGAATATCAACATGCCGAGGCAATTCCGAATGCTGGGAATACAGCTAGGCCTCGTAGTATTCGAGATCATTTAAATATTATCATGGACGAACTAAATCCTGGAATTTTGGCACCCATGATTCAGACAGCCCACTTTGAGCTCAAACCGGTTATGTTCGACATGTTGGACTTTATTGGACAATTTGGTGGTGCTCCTCATGAGGATACAAGGCAACATGTTCGGGCATCCAACTCAGCATGTCTATTATGTCACGTCAATCACA